GGGGGGGGGGGGGGGAGCGAAGCAAGGTGGGGGGCGTACAAAGCAAGAGACCTGCACCCGGCGAGACGTAGTGGCCTGAGAAGCGTTGGTTAATTTGTTCGAAGGAAGCGGGTCACTACTAACTGCTAGGTAACTTACTGCTAGATCTTTCTCATTTGAAGCCTCGTGACTGTTAGTCCCAACAACGAAATCTGGCCAAAAATCGATTTAGCACAGGAACCAGAGGCAATAGAATCGGGTAACTTACCGCTAGATCTTTCTCATTTGGAGCCTCGTGACTGTTAGTCCCAACAACAAAATCTGGCCAAGTGTAAGGGCCCTGATTGTTGCCGTGCATTGTGAAAAATTGGTGAAACTTGAGCCCTACACGAGCCCTGCCAGTATTTTGAAATAAAATGTTCAAACAAATTCACCTACCTCGCCCGTTTCATTCTGGTCAATCTTCTCTTTGTGCACGTCATCGTATCCACGCCCGTCATCAGCATACCTAAGCAAAGGTGAGCATATGGGCTTCGTCCTGGATGACAGATTAACCAACTCGAACCTTACACAAATGCCGAATCCTGGTGGCTTTGCCAGAAGCCACTTGAAGTTTCTAGAGGGCGAATTGCCAGCGTACACGAAGGTGGTCATAAACAACAGAGAGGACGACTTCATTCTGGACCTTTGGCGGCGATACTTCAAACGTTATCCAGTGGACCTGGCGGACAACGTAGAGCCGACAGAAGAGACACTTGCCAGCATCAACGATAACGAGCCAGATGAGTGGTAGCTACCACTTTTATGATAAAATACAGTCAAGTGCCTGCACAACTTTTTGGTAAATGGCACTGTGGTCTTATGAAATGAGAAACATGGGGGAAATCTAATGAAACATGTTGCATTTTGGGCCCAGACCATTTCATATATATCTCATTGTTTGCCTAGCAATATTTCTTTGCCATTTCTTTGCCATTTCATTGGCTGACTGGCTATATTTCTTTTCCATTTCATTGGTTGCCTGGCCATATTTTTTTTCTATTTCATTGTTTCCCTAGCAATATTTCTTCGCAATTTCTTTCCCATTTCATTGGCTGCCTAGCCATATTTCTTTCCCATTTCATTCATATTTCTTTTCCATTTCATTGTTTCCCTAGCAATATTCCTTTGCCATTTCATTCCTATTTCATTGGTGGCCTAGCCATATTTATTTCCCATTTCATTCATATTTCATTGTTTCCCTAGCAATATTTCTTCGCCATTTCTTTCCCATTTCATTGGCTGCCTAGCCATATTTCTTTCCCATTTCTTTTCCATTTCATTGTTTCCCTAGCAATATTTCTTCACCATTTCTTTCCCATTTCATTGGCTGCCTAGCCATATTTCTTCCTCATTTCATTGGCTGCCTGGCTATATTTCTTTCCTATCTTGTCAGGGTCCATCCAATGGGTCATCAGGAGGGTGGTCACATGACCAATTTCCTAAAATAGTCAAAATAAAAAAATTAATAGCCCTGAATTGTAGCTTTCAGAATCTGTTTGAATTATGTTCTAAAGTGCTCTCATTGTGGAGATATGAGGCAAATGAATTTTCACAGTGCCGGCTTTTTTCAACCTTTTTGTCTTTTTCTCCAGGAAAACAACACCAAACAATATAATTTTAACATATTTAGAAAGCTAAGAAAAGGGGCTACAATTATCATATCATAGAAAATTTGACTCAAAAAGGAAGGTGCATAGCCTAAAAGGGACATGCACACTAGTAGACTACAAAAGGCAGACATAGACTAGAAATTTTACCAATAGATTACAAAAGTCAGACATAGAATACAAAAATGAGTAATGCACTACAAAAGACTACAAACAGCTGGACATAGACTACAAAGTTTACTAATGGGCTATGACAGACTTCAAGAGTTGGACATACACTACAAAATCCGCTTTTCTCATTACAAAAGTTGTAGTGTCTGCTTTTTTCTACAGCAGTTTGTAGTGTCCGCTTTTTCTATTACAACAGTTTGTAGTGTCCACTTTTTTTATTACAACAGTTTGTAATGTCCGCTTTTTTCATTACAACAGTTTGTAGTGTCCGCTTTTTTTATTACAACAGTTTGTAGTGTCCACTTTTTTTATTACAACAGTTTGTAATGTCCGCTGTTTTTATTACAACAGTTTGTAGTGTCCGCTTTTTTTATTA